ATTAAAAGTTATAAATTCTTATGATACTTACTTATGATTATCATGATTGTTCAAAATAACATTTAACTATTATTATAATATTATAGTTTAATATAAGAGTTCAGTTAATTTTCGCAATCGCTCGCTAATCAATAATGTAATTTAAGTGCCAACAAACTAATGGAAACCATAAACTTATGGAAACTTTACACACATTTGGAGATATAAACCTTAAACTTAACAATATAAAAATTTACACAAAATTCACAAAAAAAAAAACAAGTTTAAATAAAATAATAGGAAATTAACAACATAATAAATGTTGCATAAGAAAAAAAACTTAAACTAAAAAATATTAATATAATATTTCATGATTAACTTCAATTAAAATAAAATCATCATCTTGTTCCAGACAAACTAATTTGTAGCAATTATCGGATAAAGTTATACATTTTCTTTTCATTTTATTGATTATAGAAACCTTGTATATTCCAAAATCTGATGAGGTACATGGGATGGTAAAAAAGTTAGCAATGGCATGAAAAGAAACAACATTGCAATCAAACTGTGATTCAGAAACTATTTCAATAACACAAATAATTTCAAGTGATTTTAAAATGAACCATCCATCACGATAGTTTGGTGCAATTTTGTCGGTAGTCTTGGAACCATAACAAAAATTGCTACTTTCTAACTCACTCAGGCTTTTTGCTAATTGAACGAGAGGTTTATTTTCGCTTTTTACAAATTTTTTAACTATTTGAAGGAAATTTTCAAAAGGAAAACTTGAAAAATCATAAAGGCTACAGTTATGATACAAAACATCTTCATGTAGATGAAGCAATGCATGAACGTTAAAAGAATAAAATTTGGCCCATAAAGCCCTTGAAGATTTGATACAAAATAATACATTAAGTTTTTTGCGTAATCCAAGTAGTGTTGTCGTTTTACTACATTTGAGTTGCTCATTAAAGATACTGCAATGCTAAAACACATGAAGTTCCGGAAGACCTCTTTTGACAAAATATTTTTCAAAACTATTGGTCCAGTGTACAACAAGAATTGTCGAAACTCAGTTGCTGTAAAACGCTTAAATTCATCAAGTGAACGTGGTTGTCGAGCAAACTCACTAGGCATTTTGCCATGATAAAAAACCAGTTTATCAGACATGATTTTTTTTTGCTGACACGATAGACGACAAATGCGTGGGCCTTCAAACCAATATTTTAGTAGCCGCTTCATAACACAAAGACAAACACAATGCATATAGTCAATAAGAAACTCCTTTACACACAATATTCCATAATCTACTAAGGGAGTCCTTCCTAATTGATAAGGTTCGCAGCATACGTTACTTGCTCCTAACGAATGATTTAAGTAAATATATTCATTAAATTGTTCATCACTTCGCGTATGACAATTTTTTTCAGTAAAAACAATCCTTCCATCATATTCTTCTTCAACTAAACATCGCTCACATGAATGGTGCCCTCCATTATCTTTAATATTCTTTAAAAAACAGCGTGCAGGCACATCACAAACAAATGCCTTGATTGAAACAGGTAGAATTTTTCCATTGTGTTCAATCCCACTCATTTGAAGCAATCTGTACTCAGTTAAAAATTTATTCAAATAGTCAAATAAATTATTTGATTTCTTTTTACCACAAAATAGACATACAATAAATGGCTATAACTCTGAAAACTTTGCTAAAACTGGCCAAAATTGTGTGTTGCCACTCTTACATTAAGGCAATCCATCGATATGTATTAGCAAATCAATTTGTTTCACAATTTTTTGAGAATCCTTTAAAATTTGTTTTATTCCTTTTTTAATCCCAAAGTAGATATATTCACCGCCACACAGTTCTTTTATTTTTATATATTTAGGGGTTTTTAAAAGTGTTCTACAATCATATGGGAGAGAAGGTACTGCATTTTTATTTAAAATATTTAACAGTTCATTGACAGCCTTTCTTGTACATCTATTACCTGTAGCCCATGCAGCTAGATCGCTAGCTAGCACATCAGATTTATTAAAAGTTAAATATGAAGTTAATTGGCATGCTTTGTTGCCTACTAGAGCATTACCAATCAATGAAACATCTGCATCTTGGCTACTTAAAAATGAATCTGATGCACAGTCAGAGTTAATATTACCATCATAATCATCGTCTGTAGGATTCAACTCCTTGTTTTCAATTTCAACGTTATCATATACATTTTTTTCTGTTAATAAGCAAACTGTGTTGTCAATATCAAGCTCCTTCATCAGCGACTTGTTAATAACTTTGTTTTTATTTCTCCAACGTTTTAAATAAGAGTTCATTTTAGTACTATAATAAAAATAACTTCGTAGTTCAATTACCTAAGTTTCAACGCGTGCCAATTTTAATAAAATAATTTATTCTATATTTAAATGTTCTGTAAAACATCGCGTGTCAACGTTAGAGCGATGTCGTTTTCAATTTAAAAATCGACTTTGGATAAAACTACGAGTTTTACGTCGCTTTAATGTTGATTCAACATCGCAACGCGATGTTAATTTTTGACGTCATTCTCACGTTAATGCGATGTTGATTTTACGTCAGCGATGTGGCCAACCTAAAACCAACATCGCAACGACGTGCGAATGACATCTGTGCCGACTGGGTACATGTATGTACACTCGGTGCGTGTACATTTGATGTTGCACACTCCGCAGAGTGTGCATAAAGCAACTGCAGGCTGTAAGTACTAATTTCTTAATTTAATAAATTAATGTTTCATTAACTTAGTGTTTAATTCTTAAATCAATTTCTTTTTTACTTCATAAAAATGAAAGTCTAAACATCATAATTCTTCTCAAATAAAATATTTTTAACTAAACTTCTTCGTCTGATTTTTTAAATTGTATTGGTGGATGACTAAGGTGTATAAGACAACTTTTGTTTTTCTTATTGTGGCCAGGTATTTTGCACACAGAACAAATGATCTTTTTTGTCTTTGGCATAACACAATCTTTTAGTATATTTTGTTGTAAACGCATAAACCTATTTATGGCTTAGAACCCTGCTCTGTCTAAATTCATCTCGTTAATCTTTGAAAAATTCGTTAAATTAAATTAAATTGAAAAATTCGTTAAATATTCACTTTCGTCAGGGTTAAATAAAGTTCGTTTATTTAAATATTCACTTTCGTCAGGGTTAAATAAAATTCGTTTATTTAAATATTCACTTTCGTTACAGTTAAACATTCCATAACCCCATCCAAATCTAGCGTAGAATGTCATAAGCTTTCCATCATGACTTCTTAAGTAATGTAAAAATGGCATGCCTTCAGTACATTCAGTTCCAGCATACGTAATAAATTTTTGAAAATACTCTTCACACCTTTCATCGAAAGTACCTGACAACTCAGGAGATGTTGATCTGACATTGCTAAAAATAGTAAGTAACATTTATCTAACCCTTTAATAATCCTTAGAAAATGATCAAAATACTTTTCATATAAATAAAACAAATCTTGTATACATATTTAACAATTTTGGGTTGTGCTACGTTTTAAATAAAATAAAGTAATGATAATTTGTAACTTAAATAAAACATAAGGAAATACTTTGAGAGACTAGCAAATCTTTTGTAGAGGTCGAGTATTTGTTGCAATTTCAAGGCACTTTGATCGAGCAAATTTTCTCCGTCTGCAAGAAAACTATTTAAAAAATATCAATGTTTGATTCCAATAACTTACAATCATTACCAATGATTTTTAAAGTTTTAGAACCATCATAGTTCTGCTTTTTGCTGAAAAAAAACAAACTACAAAGGTTAACTTGAAAACTTATATTATTCTTACATACACAGGCTAGGCTCCCTTAAAACATTTGCGGAGCTCCTTTTTCAAAATTTGGAGGGCCCTTAATTAAATTTTATTTTATCATTCTTTGAAAATTGTGATAAAATTTATTTTTTTTTAATTTCGGGATCCTAATGACAGGTTTTTAGAGCCCCTGAACCCATAGCCATAGCACTGTACATACAACATTAAAGACATAAAAAATATTTGTAACATAATATATTTCCTACATAAAAATTGTAGCAATAACAGAAAAAAAAATATAAATTAGATATAAATTAAAAAAATTGAATGAAAAGAAAGTATTCTTAAACGAACAAAAAATCTAGGTAAATAACAGTATTTTTATCAAAGTGGAACAGCAATCTTAAAAAGATGGATTTGATGGTATGACATAAAATAAAACATAATATTTGTGTAAACTTTTGTTTGAGTTTATATCATTATAATTGTATGTGAGAATTAGACAAACCTGACACAGATATATTAGTTCATAACATTTTTAAACTAGCAGTCTAGTTGTCTAAAACGCTGAAAAAAATTTTGAGTTGGCTGTGCTAAACTGTTCCAAACCTCATTCTCCCATGAATGCATCAGACTTTAAGGTTGGTCGTTTGATAGTTGATTCGAAGCTTCTTCATCCATCTTAGCAATCTTCAGCCTCTATTTTTTTTTTTTTAATTATTCACCTCCCCAAGGCCCGAGGGGGCTACTAAAGTCGAAGAAGCTATTCATTTTTTTGTTGTTGTTGTTGTTGTAAATTGTAATACAACCCTCTCTCAACTCTTTAACTCCGAGACACGAACCTTGACAAGCAAGGCAGCTGCGTGGAGAAATTAAGTTGAGCGCGGTACTTTCAGGGACGTGGTGGGAGTTGAACTCTTGGAGTGATTCGATAACCTGGAATTAAATAAGGCCAAACCAACAAGATCCTCGGACAGATACCACAAATGTAGACCTAGCTTCTTGCTGGTAACAGCAGAAATTGTCGCATAAGGATATTTCAGAAGCTGTCTCATAACCATAAAGTCATTCAGAGATGCTTCAATCTCCAGTGGTGCTGTCATCCAGGCTTTGAGGTGGATAATAACATAAAAGGTGGCGACTTCAGAAATACCACACTTTTCTGAAGCTTAAACTGATTGAAAAAGAGCCACATAATCTTGATTGAGTAGATGAATTTTGCCA